ACTATGGGAGCTGCTGACACTTTTGGCACTCGTTGAACATAGAACAGAACAGCACAGGAACAGGCGTTTTGGCCCACCAAGTCTGTGCTGACCATGATGCCATTCTAAATTAATCTCATTTGCCTCTACATGGTTTGTATCCCTCTATTCCTTGCCTGTTCAAGTGTCTGTATAAATGCCTCTTAAATGTTACTACCATATTTACTTCTACCACCTCCCCTGGCAACACATTCCAGGCACTTACATCCTTCTGTGTGAAAAAACTTTCTTCACACATCTCCTTTAAACTTTTCCCTCTATCTTAAACTTGGGCCCACTAGTATCTGACATTTCCATCTTTGGAAAAAGACTCAGATTATCCGCCCTATCCAAGTCTCTCATAATTTTATATTTTTCAATCAGGTCACTCCTTGCCCTCCCATGCTCTAATGAAAACATTCCAAGTTTATCAACCTCTCCTTATAGCTAATACATTCCAACTTAGGCAACATCCTGGGAAACCTCTTTTGCACCCTGGCCAAAGTCTCCACATCCTTCTTATAGTTTTGTGACCACGACTGCACAGAATATGTCAAATGTGGCCTAACTAAAGTTTCATACAGCTGCAACATAACTTACCAATATTTATACTTAATATCCCAACCAATGAAGGCAAGTATGCTGTACAGCTTCTTTACCAACTTAACCACTTGAGTTGCCACTCTCTTTGTAAATCAATGCTCCTAACAGTTCTGCCATTTAGTGAAACAAAAAAACGAAAGAACTGCAGATGCTGGATATCAGAAATAAAAACAAAAACAGAAATTGCTAGAAAAACTCAGCAGTCTTGCAATATCTGCTGAGTTTTTCCAGCAATTTCTGTTTCTGTTTTTGTTTCTGCCATTTAGTATATACTTTTCCCTTGCTTTTGACCTCCCAAGATGCACCATCTCTCACTTGTCCCAATTAAACTCCATCTGCCTTTTATCCGCCCAACTTTCTAACTGGTCCATATCCTGGTATATCCTATGATAACCTTCCTCACCATCCACAACTCCACCAATTTTTGTCTTGTCTGCAAACTTACTAATCAGCTCACCTACATTTTCAGCCAAATTACTTAAATAACTATAAACAATAAGGGTCCCAGCATTGATCCTTGCGGAACACCACTGGTCACAGGCCTCCAGTCAGAAAAACACCCCTCCACAACTACCCGCTGTCTTCTATGACCAAGCTAGTTTTGTATCTAACTTTCTAACTCACTATGGATCCCATGAGGCTTAATCTTCTAGACCAGTCTACCATGAAGAACCTTGTCAAATGCTTTAGTAAAATCCATGTAGACATCATCCATTGCTCTACCCTCATCAATCATCTTTGTCACTTCTTCAAAAAGCTCAATCAAGTTTGTGAGACAAGACCTTCCCCACATAAAGCCATGTTGATTATCCATTCTTCTCCAAATGGGAGTAAGTCCTGTCTCGAAAAATAATCTCCAATCATTTTCATATCACTGGTGTAAGGCTAACCCGCCTATAATTTTGTGGATCATCCCTATTCCCCTCTTTAACAGAGGAACAACATTAACTATTCACCAGTTCTCTGGGACTTCACCTTTGGCTAAAGGGGATACAAATATCTCTGTCAAGGCACCACCAATCTCCTCCCTTGTCTCCTTCAGTATTCTGGGATAGATCCCATCATAAGTCCCCATGGGGATTTATCTACCTTAATATATTTTAAGACACCCCAATACCTCCTCTTTCTTAATATCAACATACTCCTCCCTAATTTCACCATCATCCATGTCCTTCTCCTTGGTAAATATTGATGCAAAGTTCTCAATAAGGACCTCACCCATTTCCTCTTGCTCCACACATAAATTCCTTTCTTTGTCCTTGAGTGGACTTACCCTTTCGTCAGCAACCCCTTGCTCTTAATATATGTATAAAATGCATTGGGATTCTCCTTGTGGTTAGGGGTTTCAGATCCATGGAGCATCAGATTGGGTTACATGCATGTGTTGGGATGGTGGATTAAAGCAAGGTTTAGTGCTGAAACAGAGGGAACTGTTTAATGGATCGTATAGGGATTTGAGCAATGTGGCCTACGGCTGTGAAGGTAGCATTGCAGGCTACATTGGGAATTCTTTGTTAATAGGGACCTGCACTCAGCTCACAGACTGGATTCAGGGATTCTTGTTTTCTCTCTTAGCGCTCGCTCACTTCGTGCCTACCTGCATGCTCACAGCATCCTTGCATTGCCAATTAGCAGCCTGCCTTGCTGTACAACAGTTCTCAATCAAGTGAGAGCACCATATTACATTAACCTCACAACTGCAGAACGTGCCAACAGCTTACTCACAAATACACTGCTTGTACATCAAGCATTCGCATCTCAAAATCTTAGGGGACTGGTCCTCACTGAAATCCAAGGCAGCAGCCAGCAGTCAGAGGGTCCTGGTTCAGTAAGTCAACGGCAGGCAGTCCATATGAGTCCAGGGATTAACCACAGCTAAGAATCCAGTCGGGGTGATCTCAATGAGGGGGTCTGTAGGTAGGGCTCATCCAGACAGAGAAATGGAGAGCCTCCAGTCGAAGTCGGGGCCGTTCTTGTTTGGGACTGTCTGGTTGGGTCAGTCAAGTGAGACAGGCAAGGTTAGCCACTGCAACGGGAAGGAGATTTAACAAACTATTCTTCAGCACTCGGGACTGTAGGCCTCTGCAAAGGGGTTGACAGTTGTGAAGAGGGAATGTATCGACAAATGAGGGAGCAAGAAGAAGTGAGGGGAAGCAGGGTGATACAGTGATGCATAAATAGGAAGAGGGTCATGTAGGAATAGTGTTTGTCCACAGTCAGGTGTACCCTGGCTGTATGGCCACACCTGCCATGGTCATGTCATGTGCCAGGGGCCTGGATGGGGGAAGTGGGCAAGTGGAAAGTAATGTAGATAGGTTCAGTGGCACCTCAGGTGGTGTGAAACCTCTGAGGTTTATGGGATGGGCTACAAGACAGGGCAATGGATGTTTGGGGGTTCACCAACACGTAGCAGCAGAGGCTGGAAGTCACAAGCTGAGGTACATTTTAACTCACTGTCACCTTCCACCATGCTGGAAATTTGAAGTGTGCAATGGGGAAGAAATTGGCTCTGACCACATTTAGGTGGTGAGGGTATGTGATTCGACCTTTGGGACAGGGGGCTGCAGGATTCATTGATGTGAGGGCCTGTACAGGAAAATGTCATACACACACCTATACACTGTACAGGGCACAAATTTACAAGGGACCTAATCTCTTGTCATCCTCATGTATTCGCACCTTGTTTGTGTTTCATCTCCCTGCCCTAGACATCACTGACAAAATCATTCACACCAACAGTTTTTAACACACATTAGGCTGGGAAACAATAGAGATGTTGTATGCAGTGCAGCCTAGTCTAACCTACAGCTGCGTGCAGGTCCCTGTTCATAAAGAATCCCTGCAGCTGTAACCTGCAATGTTACCTACACAGCCACAGAACACATCACTCAGATCCCTATAAGACCCATTAAACAGATCCGCAGTTTCACCACGAAACCCTGCTTTATTAAACCACCTCAACACCTGCACCTGACTCCTTCTGATTCTCCATGAATCTGAAATCTCTAGCTAATTACCACCCCTAATCCCCGAGATTTCCTCCACTGCTTCCAACTCCCACCACCAACTTGCCTCCTCAATGACCTACTCTAATCACTTACTCATATACATGACCATACCCCTTCACCTGCCAACCACCTCAATCCTCCACCCAACTTTAATGTTACCCCATCACCCTCTTGGCAACCTTATCCCTTCACCCACCTGGCACTGCGACCCTTCACCCACTCACCATCCTATTCTGTCACCTGACAGTCTATGCCTCAACCACTTGCTACACTAGCCCCTCGCCCACTGTCAACCTAGCTCATCACCCACCTGGTATCCTATCCAACCCATCTACCACCCTACTCCCTACCCACTTGCCACCTTAACATCTTCATCCACCCACCAGATGCTGCCAGCGGTTTAGACATCAAATCCACTTCACTGCTCAATGTATAGAATCCTGGACTACATTAGACTGTTTCATCGGACCCAGGGTTTGAATGGAGAACTTCTCGGAATGTAACTGTGCTTTCTTTCATTTGATCTGGATCAGAAATAAGGGTTTCCAATCCTGATCGGAAGATTTGAGACAAAATGACATAGCTTTCATCATATGCTCAACTACTTTTCTTTTTGCAGTGAGATGTCAAAACCAGCATGCTCTTTTGATATTGTTTATGGAGAACTAAAAAGCTTTGATATACTTCAGAATTACAAAAAAATGATAAATTCAAATGATACACTCTGTGATAAAGTAGCCACCTTAAAATGAACTGAAGATAACAATCAAAACTGGGAGTATGGCATACCAACTGATCATTGACTTCTGAGCATTGAGATGTTTTTCTGCATCTTTAAGGGACAAATTAGTAGATTTTTAAAAAAAAAATTATAAGCTTAAAAAATCATTTGGTTATAATATTGCATTAATTTTGTCAAAAAGCAGAAATTTTATAATGACGGCTACTTTTCTTTCTTTGCAGAATGTATGATGAAAATGTTGAACCAATATCCCCAGTAAAATCACTCAGTACTGGAGAAAACATATATGAAGAGTGAAGCAAGAAAATTGGACTTCGAAACATGTCCCTTTTACAATGAAGGAAAATCAGAAGTGGGTTGTTTGTTTTTTTTTCTACTACAGCAAAAAAAAGACTTTTGAAATTGGGAAAGTTGAAAATCACAAGTATCTTGAAATATATCTGTTTATTCTTGTCATATTCTCCCTGATGTAACAGTTGATCTTTGCGTCATTACCTGTGAACAAATGAATTGAATTTCCCAAGAAAACATAGATTAAAATCGGATAAAAATGATTGTTTAATTTAGTGATCACACTTATCCAATTTTCAGTTCATCCAATTTTCCTCAAAATTGTAAAACATAACTACCTAATCTGTTGCAAGGATTCCTCTTGAAGAGTGCTCGCAAAAGGCTTTGGGCTTCTGGGCTTAAGAACTGTGGCATTCCCAGTTTAGCTCTAGAAGATATACAGACAGCAAATATCAGTGAACAAAATAGACAAAAGTTATTTGAAAGTATTGTGAAACAATCTATTCTCTTGTCCCACAGATTACGTTAATTCTGACTTTCACCTCTCCTTAAATGAGTGTCTTGCGCCAAACTGAAACCTGATACCTCTACTAACTGGCTGCAAGGTTGAATTTAATGCTACTGGACAACCAGAATAGGCAGTCCAGCTGAATGCAAGCCTATCCTTTTCTTTAGCTTACACCTGTAAATGGATTTCCCAGCAGAGATCATTGGATAGTGATCAGGAATGAAAACTCTGCTTGATATTTCTTATCTCTCTAGTCTAATAATGTTAAATTAAATTGTCATAGACCCACTGCACCCTGGTTAAAACAGGCAAAATATGAAATTTAGGACCTTCCTGGCTTGCACTATACTAGTGCAGTTCAGGGAAAACAAAGGAGAGAAACCTGGTGGGAATAGTTTATAGCTCTCTCAGTGCTAATATTAGTCGCAGGGTTGGAAAGAGAACAAATTAAAAAAATTAGAGGAGCACTTAACAATACAAATTATGGAAAAACTTTAATGTTCATATAGATTGGATAAACTAAATTGGCAACTGTAGTTAGAGGACATGTTCATGAGAGAAACAATGAGACAACAGGCTTTTTAAAATCTAGTATTGTGTAATGAGACAGTGTTAATTAGTACATTCATAGCATAGGATCCATTGCAGCTTAGTGATTTAGACCCATCTGAATCGTGACAAATGTTTCGGCAGGGAACTTTCCTAGTTCTATTGGAGAGAGTTTAAGCTAGATCTGCAAGGCAGAGAGAATCTGAGTGTAGACTCTGAAGGAAGAGAAGTAAAACTGGAAATAAAAGACAGAAATTTGCCGATTGTTGAGGAAGCAAAGAGTACATGATGCTTGAAATTAGGTTAACCACTTATATCAGATGAATGGTCCTAGTATTCTAAAGGAACTGAGGGAAGAAATAGCAGAGATTCTGGCCGTTATTTTCTAATTCTGTCTCTGGCCATGTAGTACCAGAAGACTGGAGGACCGCTAATGTTTTATCATTATATAAAAGATGGAAGAGGTAAACTGAGCAATTACAGATCCATTAGCTGAAACCTGGTGATAGACAAATTATTGAAAAAATCCTGAGAAACAATATGAATTGTTACTTAGAGGGGCATGGATTAATTAAGGATGGTTAGCACAGATTTATTAACAGAAAATCGTGTCTAATTAACTTGATGAAATACATTAAGGAGGCAACATAACAGGCGAGAGTAAAGAGCAGGATGATAAATTTGCTACTGTAAAAACGGATTTCAGAAAGGTTTGATGACAAGATCCCACAAGAAAACTGGTCAAAAACTTAAAAGTTCATAGGATCCAATAGAATATGGTGAATTCAATCTAAAATATTTCAGTGACTGAAAGTAAAGGGTTGATGAATGCTTTTGTGATTCAGATAAGTCAGCACAGATATTCGTGAATGGGCAATCATTTTGTCAAATAAGATAAGGGCTATTAGTGGAAATAACATATATTGATTTTCAAAAAGCATTGGTTAAGTGTACCATCCAAAATTTACTTCAGATTGTGTTAGTATTTTAGTTTGGATTAGAATTGGTTGACATGCCATAAAGTGAGAATAAAAACAAAGGGGTTGGCAGATTGTACCTAATAAGGTGCCTCCTGGATCAATTCTGAGTGTCAGCTATTTACTATTCATTGCAATTTTTTAAAAAAGGTAATTGAGTATAATGTATCTAAATTTATTGATGATGCAAAATTTGATGGGAGACTAAAGTGTGAGAAGAACACAAAAAGGTTGCAAAGGGACACATACATGAATGGGTGACAAGGTAGCAAATAGATACAGGAAGAAAGAGAAATTTGGCAGCAAGGAGACAAAAGGATATCCTTTGAAAAGCCGAGACTAATAAATATTTGTATTCATAGTTTAGGATCCTTGTACAAGAAAGTTAACACCCAGGTATAACAAGCAATTAGAAAGACAAATGGCATGTCAGCTTTTATTATAATGTGGCAGAGTTTAACAGTAAGGAAATAATGCTGCAAGTATATGTGCCATTTGTGAAACTATTCATAGAATATTGTGCACAATTTTGGTCTCTGTAGCCAAGGAAGGACATAAACACAGACCTCAGATGGCAAATGACAAAAGTTCACTGAATTAATTCCTGGGATGAAAAGTGATGTGGAGGTGCTAGTGTTGGACTGGTGTGGACAAAGTCAAAAATCACACGACACCAGGTTATAGTCCAACAGGTTGATTTGAAAACACAAGCTTTCGGTGTCTTGCTTTTTCACCTGATGGACTATAACTTGATGTTGTGTGATTTTTCACCTTGGGATGAGAATTCTTCTAGTAGGAGAGATGAAACAAACTGGGCCTATATTCTTCAGATTAAAAAGAGAAAATGATGGAAATACTCAAAATGCAACACTGTGGAAGAGATCAGAAATTTCAGGTTAATGATACTTCACCACTGATGAAAAGTCATTGACCTAAAACTTTGGATGGAATTTTACATGTCCCCTCTGAGGGGAAGGGGGAGATGTAATAAGCTCATCCACTGAAATTGGCAGTCTGCCCACCATCTGTAAATAAATTGTTAAGAGTGAATTGAGTTAGTCTGACCCCAATATTAACCTGCTCCCTTTTAAAAAACTGCTTTAAAGGTAAGGCAGGAAAGATGTTATTACCTCCAGAGCGTGTCCTTTGTGTATGGGGGACCCACTGCCAGAAGATATTACATTGCCTTCCTTGCTCCTTACGTGGAGTTTGAAATTCACCCCTCCCTCCCACATCCCTAAAGTCACCATACACTCTTCATTCAATGCTCCTAGATTACCTGGGACTGAGACCCATTGGGACCTTCTGCTTGAGGCTGGTTGCAGTCCCAACAGTGTCCACTATGTAGCTCTGGCGCTGCTAGGACTGGTGAAGATGTCATCCAATTTGATTTGCTGGCAGGTGTAGTCGATGCATCTTCCTCCCATTGAGGGCTGAGTCCCATACTCACTTATCCCATCCATAGTGCATTATGTTTATGGGGCAGGATTCTCCAAGTCTGTTGACTCACCGCTGACTTTCCTTCTGCGGGAGGGGTGAGAGGTCACCACACCCCCAGTCCCCTTCTCACCTCCCCCCCACCAAACTTTCTGTCTGTTAACTCTAGGTCTCTCCACAGATGCTGTCAGATCTGCTGAGTATTTCCAGCATTGTCTGTTTTTATATCAGATTTTCAGTATCTGCAATATATTGCTTTAGCTAAACTCTCTGGAGTCGAGAACATTGAGAGAAGATCTCCTTGAAATGTAAGCAACAATTTTGAGGGCTTGCTAATGCGGATTACTGAGAAGCTGTTTCCTCTGGAGATGATGAGATATTTCTTCAATCAGATGATGATGAAATGTTGCCATTCCAAAGGTCTGTGGTTGCTTAGTCATTCACTATGTTGGAGGTAAAGATCGATAACATTTGGGCACTAAATGAGTCAAGGTATATTGGGATTTGCTGGAAAAGTATAGTTGAGGGAAAAGAATAGCCATGTAACCATTCAGTTGTGGAGCACGCTGATGTGACCATTATGAACCGTTCCTGTTCTTATTTTTTATGTTTTTTTTAATGTTGGATTGATTCAATGAAATATTAAAATAAACATTCATTCATTTCACATGACAATAAAATAGCAAACATTTTGTCTGCCTCAGATTAATATGTTTGTACCAAATCAGTCTCAAACTTTTGGCATTACTATAATGTGGAACCCAGAAACAGGGATGAATTATTTAAGAAAAATTAAAAAAGGCTCATTCCTTACTTACACTGTCTGACAACCCATTTTCTGTGTAACAAGGTTGAGGAATTGAAGGCTTAATGTATGTTTGTAACAGTGTTGCCAAATTTAAAATATTCAGCTCTTATTTACCTTCCTACTGAGGTGTGTGGAGCTACTTAGACCTATTCAATGCCTTCTCTTCATAATGCATTCAAGATACCTCTTTTGATTACTTCTTTTGAGGTAATTCATCAATGTTTTGATTTTGGTCCAATTTTGCTATATCAATACCTCTTTTAAACACTACATTTTGGTATTGGTCAGAGGGCAAGAGAAAAGGCACATTCCAGCATAGGCACATGATTGAACTCAACTTTAGAAGTCAGGATTATGGAAACCCTACATACAGCTTTGCTTGTAAGAAAACTACTGAAGCTCATCACAAATGCAGCAGAAAGACTGGAACATTGACAGCAGGCTAAGATGTAAACTTTCAACTGAAGGGTTAACCGTGTAGCCTCTTTTTTCCGAAGCATGAGCAGTGCTTCTCTCTCACAGTGTGCTGTTTGAAGTGTTATCAGTAATGCACTGAATCTAAGTTCTTTAATCAGTGAATTAATCTTACAATTTTTAAACAAAAACTTACTTACTTGAGTATAAGTGCCATGGTTTCTTTCCTGTCCTTGCCTTGGAAAGGCAGCGACCCGGTTAACATCTCAAACTAGGCAAAAAAACCAAAACATATATTAGAGATATCATCAAAGTCGAGTAAATAGTCAACATCACCTGCAGACATCATTCACCTATTCAATCTACTCACTTCATTTAGTGACAGAAGTGAATATGTATATGACCAGCACATGCTTTTGAACTGTTGCAAGCATTCAATATGGATTGTAGTTTTGATTGCCTTTCTTTTGTATATAACCTTATTTTATAAGTTCTTTGGTTAACAGTTGAGTAAAGCTACAGACACCAAGAACATAAAAGATATCTGATCAATTCAACCATACTGTTTTTTGGGTGAACTTGGAAGTAATTGTCCAGGGTGCTTTTGGGAGAATTTCAAACTACCAATGGATTACTTGTATGCCAACAGTCCAGGTTCAGATATTCTGTACCTTATCATCTGCATGCAAAGAGTACAGAGCTAACTGGTACAGGTAAAGCAAAACGTTAAGATTTCTGCTCCTCTGTTTTGCATAGATACAAAATAAGTGGCAGGTGTCAGTGTCAATTATCCAGTATGAACAAGAGTTTGCTTTGGGGACAAAGGACTGTGTGAACATCACTACATCCTTGTACAGTTATTGAAATGTTCTGTATCCAAATTAGTTTGCAGGATTGAGTCCAATAGAAATTTAATCTAATGTGAAATAAATTGTTTGGCAGCAGTGTCTTTGGGGATGTCCTAATCTTCTTCAGGACTCATCTCTCTTCACAGATGCTGTCAAACCTGCCGAGGTTCTCCACCATTTTCTGTTTTTATTTCAGTGCGCCAGCATCCATTTTGCATTTACTTTCCAGGATACAGTCTGCTACATCGTAGACCACAATTGGTAATATCAATGTAACTATTTGCCATACATGTTTGATTCTTGGTAGAATGAGCTCACAGACCACCTGTACAAGGCCAGCAACTCACCTTCATTTAGCAATGAAAAATCAACACCATTCAAAAATTGTAGGTGCCACACATACAAAGCAAAGAAGTAGAGAAAAGAAAGCAAAAGAAAATATAAGAGAGCAGAAGAAAATGTGTGTAGATTTATTTTTCTGAGGTAAGTTAATTAAATAGGTACCCAATGGAATCCGAGTAGCACCTTGTATCTTCGTCAGCAACATTTAATATGTTTGTTGCGTTGAGATACAAGACGTTTTGGAGCATGTGCCAACAACAAAAGGTGAAGAAACAGTGCGATCACTGCAACACTCTGTGCTGAAATCCCCTTTCCAGTTTAATTTCTGCACAGTAACATATTTTCGCCATCTTCGTTTCCTTCTCTATTGCCCTAGTGTGGCATATTCACACAAGGTTTACCCCAGACCACAAAATTCATAAAAGGGAAAATCTGACAAGATTGCATACTATTGACACGCTACCAATACATGGCAATGGAAGTAATGGACAAACGAATGAGCATAGCATCAAAGGGGAGAGAAAGATGCATGCACTCTGGATAATCAGTAAAGAATACATCGTATGATTTACCAGACATCAAAGAAGTTACAATCGTTATAATTGTATCCTTGCTATCCTTTGAGATCTATAGTTTCCTTTGCTTGATTGCCCGGTGTGCGAATAATTTCAGGTGCCATTTGGGAGGTCTATCTTTCTAATTATACCCTGGAGTCCTATAGAATATGTTATTGTTCTGAATTCAACAATTTATATTCAAAACTTGAATCTTCAAGCTGCTCCCTCAAACCAATTTCCACTTCTGTGGTTTCCCACATGTTTATCTCTATCCCATCATTTGTCAACACACCAAGTTAAACACGTATAAGAATTATTCTAAAAATATCAGAAAATTAATTAACCACCGTATAACCACATCATTGAATGCTAGTAATCATATCTATATTCCCAAGACTATTTACTGCTTGTGGCACCAGTTCTATAACCTGCTGAGAAAAAAAAGCTTGATAATATTCATATCTTGGCCTACTTAATAATTTGTATCGAAATTGAATCAAGATAGCAAATCAGTGGGCAAAAGATGACCTTTGACAAACCATTAATATATGAATGGTAACATGTACTTGTTTAACAATAGAGATATTACACTACTTGAGAACAACCAGCAGCATCTGCTATGTCATTGACTATGGTGCTTTTGTTCTCAGATATAACAGGAACACTTGGCATTATAAAACATTTTTCATTTTGCTGTACGTCTGTGATAATTACTATTTCTATGCCCAGTGTTAATACTGTTACTTTTTTTTTTCAAAACAACCTTTATATTGTTCATTAATGGTCTTTATAAACAATCTGCCAGAATTAACTTCTGAAGAAGTAAAGATAGAGTTTCTCACTTATGGCAATTACATATTATGAACAGATCCTTCAAGGAGTTAGAAGTCTGTGTATTTCTGCAGAACTCATCCTACGGATTGCAAAACCTAATAAGAGTCAAATAAAAAGTAAGAGGCACTACATAACAAAGACATGACCACATATAGAAAGGCACTTTACAAAGCAGCCACATTAGTGTCACATCCATTGCCCACAGATAAACAGTGGAAAGCCATTGATCTGCGGATTAGTGTCATCAAGGGACCTATTAAAGTCTCATTCTTATATTATGTGCTTTCAGGCGACAATTTAGGCAGCTGAATCAGACCGGACCACACTCAATCCAGTGTTGTGTTCTCAAAGTGGAAATAAAAGATGTGGGGACAGTTGCAGCCATTGTTCATATGCATTCCCTCCCACAACAACACTTGTTATACCTGCCAGGCTACAGCTTCAACCATCAAGATCATGCCCAGTCAGCTGTAGCTGTTTTAAGAGTTGGAGGAACGTGTCTAGCCTTATCCCCATTTTCTCCATGAGAGTATAAGATCAGAAGAAATAGGAGGAGGAGGCTATCTGGCCCTTCAAGCCTGCTCCGCCATTCAACAGGATCCTTTTGTGGAATCAGCTCCACTTAACCGCTCGCTCACCATGACCCTTAGTTCCTTTACCGTTCAAAGATCTATCTATCCTTGCCTTATAAACATTCAATGAGGCAACTTCAACTGCTTCACTGGGCAGGAAATTCCACAGATTCACAAGCTTTTGGATGAAGAGGTTCCCATTAAGCAGATGCTTTCCATTCCAAGGTACTTCCCTGGTCTAAAATTGTTCTGCTAGTGGGAACAGTGTACATGAGACTAGGCCTGCTTTCCCATGTACCATCCTCAATAGCTGTTTAATACTGCTTGAAATAAGATAGATATGTTATATTGCTGTACCAGAAAGGCATCAAAACTGATTCCTGGATAGAGGACACCAATATAAACAATGACATTTGGCTGTTGCACTACCTCTGAATGTGATTAAATGCAAGCATTGGCTGTTTATGTAGATCATGGAACTAATTTGAAAACCCTCTATTCCTACGTGGGTGCCATTTACAAAGCTGTAGAGTTGAAGGAACCTTGCCATTGGGAAAAAAGTTATGCACTTAGCCAAGCCAAAGCGACCTTTCCACAGGGAAGATCGTGTGCTTACAAACACATCATCAAGTATCTTAATACATATATGTGCAATGCAGATTTCCTAATATGACACATCTTCCTTCCTGCAACTTGGAAGGGAATGAAAGCTTCATGCTGTGGTAAATTTCACTTCTACAGGCTGAGTCACCTCTATTTCAGATGACGTCACCCTGCAGTAGATCACTGACAGCTTGTCTTATGGAATTGACATTTTTTTATTCACTCAAGAGTTGTGGCCTTCGCTGGCTGATCCAGCATTTAAGGTCCATCCCTGATTGCCTTCAAGAAGGTGGTGGTGAGCTTCCTTCTTGAACCCCTGCAGTCCATTTGGTGTAAGTTCATGCACAAAGAGGGAGTTCCAAGATTTTGACCCAGTGACACGGAAGGAGTGATGATATATTTCAAGGTCAGGATGGTGATACACTTAGAGGGGATCTTGTAGTTGGTGGCGTTCCCAAATATTTGTTGCCCATATCATGCTAGATGGAAGAATCATCTGGGCTACAGTTTGGAAGATTCTGTCTAAGGAGCCTGGGTGAATTTCTGTCATGCATCTTGTAGATGGTACACACTGTTGCTACTGAGCACTGATGGGTGGAGGGAATGAATCTTTATGGGTCTGGTGCCAATCAAGTGGGTTCTTTTGTCCTGTCAAGCATCTTCATGATTTTTGGAGCTGCACTCATCCTGGCACAAATGGAATATTCCAACACATTTCTTATTGTGCCTTGTAGATGGTATACAAGCTTTGGGAGTCAGGAGTCAGGAGTCAGGAGGTGAATTACTTGCTGCAGAATTCCCAGTCTCTGAACTGTTCTTGTAGTCACACTATTTATATGGCTAGACCAGTTCAGTTTCTGATCAATGGTAATCCCCAGGATTGATTGATCTATTGTTGTCACATGTAGCGAGATGCAGTGAAAAGAGTTGGTTTTTGTGCAATACAGGCAGATTGTACCATACAAAGTGCATCGCAGTAGCAGAACAGAGTGCAGAATACAGTGTTACAGCCATAGAGAAGGTGCAGAGAGAATGATCAGAATTAACATTTGAGAGGTCCGTTCAAAAGTTGATAATAGTGGGGAAGAAGCTGTTATCGAATCTATTCATGCATGTATTCAAACTTTTATATCTTCTGCCTGATGGAAGAGGGTGGAAGTGAGTATAACCGTGATGGGAGAGGTCTTTGATTGTGTTGGTTGTTTTCCTGAGACCGTGGGAAGTATAGATGGAGTCAATGGTTGGAAAGCTGAAGCCCACTGGTGGACTGGGCTATAGTCATGGCTCTCTGCAGTTTCTGTGGTTTTGGAAAGATCAGTTGCCATACCACACTGTGATACATCCAGGTAGGATGCTTGCTATGGTGCATCTATAAATATCAGTAGGAGTTCTTGTGGGCATGCTAGATTTCCTTAGTCTCCTGAGGAAGTAGGAGTGTTGTTGTACTTTATTGACCATTGCGTTGATGTGAGTGGACCAGGACAGATTGTTGGTGATCATCTCTCCCATGAACTT